TTGGCCATCGCAGAAACACACCAGAACTGCTGCTAATAAAAATGCTGTGGCCCACATAATCCTGTACAACACAGCCGATTATTAGACCAGTGAGCCAGTAGTACCAAACTTGTGGGTGTTTTAATAGCGGGGATTGGAACTGTGATGCATTTTTGTGGTAAGCTCTGCTGCTGCTGGTGGCACATGCTGTTCAGTAGGTACAAAAGTATCAGGATGGCTATTCACTGTTAGTGCAGCGTTTGAAGAGTGCAGAATTTTTAGATCCACTGCTCCAGTCGTTTTAGTGTCATACATTAAAGCATTAATAAATACAATCTCAGGCAAAAAATAAAGCTTCCGGAAACACGGTTTTGATTCGATTTCGCAAATGGGTCAACCACTCCCCCTACGATTCGTTCATTCGTTTCATTGGTACTGGTGCATGTTGGTGAGTCAAACTTGTCATCAGCTTGCTATTAAACAACCCTCGATGCGACCGAATCACGACTTGTATTAGCGACAGCTGCTATTGGCACAACCACTCAGACCACTTACCAGGAGCACTGCCTGTTAAAACAGCGAAAGCTAAAGAAGTTTTAATTTGTAACTTTGAAAAATTGTCCTAGCTCATGCTCCACTTTAACGGCATCTAGGCCACTTTTCGTAAATGAACTGCTAAAGGCATTTCTTTGTGTTAGATTTGCAAAATTTTTCATCATGGAAGGATTGTGCTTGGGCCAGTAAATTAACAAACAAACAAGAACTTCGAAAACAGAAGAACTCGGCGGAGTGCTAGCAGCAACATCAGTGAAGGAAGAAGTATTACTGGATGGAGGTGCTACCCAATGAATTCACGGATGCAGCGCAAGAAAGCGAGAACGATGCGGCTGAAACGCAAAAAACGCATTCGTTGATTCTGAAAAAGTGGGACCGCTATGTACCAATTCGTCTTTTATACCGGAATAATTTTGGTTTCGGGAAAAAATAACTACACAGCTAGTTTTGCCAATTGCTTCCAGGGCGTTCCATCAAGCAACGAACGAGGCGACACGGCAAAACAGCAGCAGCAGCAGTACATTGCTGGGAGGCAAAAAAGTACAATCGACCATATCACAGACGACATCAGGTAAATAAGTGCATAATAAGTGCTCGAACGAGAAGCATATTCTTCAGGAACTTCCCTCCTTCTCGAGAGGGGAGAACAACTTGTATCTCGCTGGGAAATCGCCATCATTATCATTATTACCATCATCATCATCATCATTTTCTGCGCAATAGTAATTTTAACCTCTGTGACTTCTGGTCTTTACACTCAGCTAAGAAACAAACACATTTTTCAGCACTGCGTTATTTCCCGAACACCGATTC